CAACTGTCTCACCTGTCTCTGTCTCTCTCACTTGTCTCACCTGTCTTTGTCTCTCTCAACTGTCTCACCTGTCTCTGTCTCTCTCAACTGTCTCACCTGTCTCTGTCTCTCTCAACTGTCTCACCTGTCTCTGTCTCTCTCAACTGTCTCACCTGTCTCTGTCTCTCTCAACTGTCTCACCTGTCTCTGTCTGTCTCTCACCTGTCTCACCTGTCCCGTCAGTTTGCAGATGCCGAGTGTGCTAAAAAGGCTCTGGAGCAGCTGAACGGCTTCGAGCTGGCGGGTCGACCCATGAAGGTAGGTCATGTGACGGAGCGGACCGACGCCGCCACGGCTTCCTCTTTCCTCGACAACGACGATATGGAACGCAGCGGCGTCGACCTCGGAACCACCGGGCGACTGCAGCTGATGGCCCGACTCGCCGAGGGTGAGACGGTGCTTTATACTGCTGCTACATCCACCTGTAATCACCTGTAGTCCACAGACTGACTGACTGTGTGTCTGACAGGTTCAGGTCTACAGATCCCTCCCGCTGCTCAGCAGGCTCTGCAGATGAGTGGAGCGATCGCCATCGGAGCCATGGCTGCTGTGTCAGGTAAAAACACACACACAGAGCTACGTGACTGTCTGTGTCCAGGTGCTTCTCCAGAATCACCTGTAAGAAATGGATCTTCTGTCTTTTTGACGGTCACATTTAAATAGTTTTTAAATGTGTGTTTCAGCTGCCATGAACCCGACTCTCAACATGAACTCTGCTGCTCTGAATCTTCCTTCTCAGCCGCTCGCCACTCACTGCTTCCAGCTGTCCAACATGTTCAGCCCCAACAGGTAAGCCCACAACTGTCGGCACATGTCTGTGTCCTGCCTGCGTCCGCACCTGTCTGCGCCCCGTCTGTGTCCTGTCTGCGCCCGCACCTGTGTGTGTCCTGTCTGCGCCCGCACCTGTGTGTGTCCTGTCTGCGCCCGCACCTGTGTGTGTCCTGTCTGCGCCCGCACCTGTGTGTGTCCTGTCTGCGCCCGCACCTGTGTGTGTCCTTTCTGCTAACGAGGGTTTGTCATCAAACACATCGGTAGAATCAGTTAACAAGTTCCGCCTGTTGACATTTTGTTGATTTTGTAAAAGCAATTAAAGAGCAGCCATGTGGATTAAAAGAGTTAAACTACCTGGTGGAAAAGTAAAGTTAGGACAGCTCAACAGTTCTCCTGAAGTCAGGAGAGTTTATTTAGGATTTTAGCTTCTGTAAAACACGTTTCCTCTCTGAAGTTAGGAAAGGAACCCTGACTGAGGAACTGTTCGTCTGTAACGGCCTTATTCCTAAATCAGTTCCTAACCCTTATTACCATGGTTACCAAGCAGTCAGGACAGGCTCTGCCGGTTAGGAAGTTTCTGTAATACGGTCCCTGCTCCCCATTCACACCTGAGACCCTGTGACACGAACGAGTCACATGACACCCAATGTGGACATTTTCACTTAGGTGTCCTCACTTTTGTTAGACATTAACGGCTGTGTGATGTGTTATTTTGAGGGGACAGCAGATTTACACTGTTATACAAGCTGTCTGTCTCACTACTTTACACTGGAGCAAAACATAATTTCTTCAGTGTCGTCACATGAAAAGATAGAATCAGATATTTACAAAGATGTGAAGGCTGAGTGTATATGTATATATAATATATTACTCAGACGGGGTTGTGTCTCTGTTTCAGGGAGGAGGCTTCTGGGTGGGAGACGGAGATCCAGCACGATGTCATAGAGGAGTGTAACAAACATGGAGGGGTCGTTCACATCTACGTGGACAGGAACTCTGCTGAGGTACGCCTCCCCTGGGCTGTGTGCATTCAGACCAAACATGAATTTAATCCTCTCGCGGGTTTTATCGCTGGACTGTTCGCCGAGTGTTCCCACATAATAACGCTGAAATAACAACATCATGATGCTGATTTGTTAAAAATGTTAATTCTTGCTCAGCAAGATGGCAAGCAGACAACTTTTAAAATGCTTGTTTTCTGAATGGAGTTCAGGGCTATGTCAGGATAACTTGTTGTCAGTAAAGTACGACAGCTGGAATCAAGTAACACTCACGTATTGTTTGAACTTACAGGAAGTCCAGCTTCCTCGCCATGTCCTGTCGTAGTAGTTGTAGTATCACAGAGCTCAGGGTGCCCTCTGACGCTAACAACATTAATCAGCGTTGATGTAAAAAGTTAATTTAATAAAATCATTTAGCTCTGAGCTCCTCCTCCCTAAACGAATCCGTCACGTCTCTCTGTCTTTACATTGACTTTGTATGTAATGGCGCCGCCCCCCCAACGCTCGCTTCACGTTTGGTCTGACCGCACGGTTATACAGGTGTGTCTGTGTTTGACCTCTGACCTCTGCTTGTGTTCAGGGAAATGTCTACGTCAAGTGCCCGTCCATCCCTGCTGCCATGGCCGCCGTCAACGCTCTACACGGAAGATTCTTTGCTGGTAAGACTTCCTGTCACGTGACACCTGTGCTGCGGACCAATCAGACAGCAGCTCTGATGTCTCACTTGTTCTTTCAGGTAAGATGATCACGGCGGCGTACGTCCCCCTGCCCACCTACCACAACCTGTTCCCAGAGTCCGCCACCGCCACACAGCTGCTGGCCCCGCCTCCGCGACGCTGACTCGCAGACAACACTGCCCTTTGATTGGACGCTGGACATTTGAGCCCACCCCTCTTTTATATCGTCCTCTCCTATTGGTCAACACAGACGAGTCACCTCATCAGGCCTGAGGACGCCGACAAGAGACGCTGTTGTTTTGTTCCAGTTTACTTCCTGCTTCCTGTTGTTTTTTCTCATTAGCATTTCTGGGCATGGCCTCCACATACCATCGTCCAATGATTGAGCTCTGTGAGCTGTGAGGAGGCCGGCTGAAGATGAAGATGCCGTTAGCTGATTGGTTGGTTTGAAGCCGTTTGGTATTTAACTGTTTTCTAATCAAGAATTTGATTTTGTAAAATCCTTGATTAAATTTTATTTTGAAGTCACAGAGAGCGCCGTGTCTTCTTCTGCTGACAGGAAGTGTCCTTGTTCTGAGAGGACTGGACTCAGGGTTGTCAGGGTGACCACGTCCAGCTCAGCCCACAGCTGTGAGGTCTGATTCCAGATCAGTGATTCTAATCTAATGATCATCAGGAAGTCACGAGAAGCTTCTCAATAAGGAAAGTAAAAAATAGACTGAAGAGGGAGAAACAGGAAGTCAAACTCACGAGAACGTGGACGTGGTGTTTATTTAGGGAAAGGAAGTTGAATTATGGGTAACATTCTGTTTACAGCGCCCGCCGTTTTCTTCTTCTTCTCCACGCGCTGCAGCAGCAGATACCAGCGTACCTGCCAGCAGACAGACCTGGTTCTGTCACACGGTCCAGGTCCTGGATCTGTTTATAGTACTGCAATACTGTAATACAGTACTGCAATTTGCTAGTGAGAGTAGATTTCTTACCTATTCTCATTTCGGAAAGTCCGGATGATGGATGCTACAGTGTACCTGCTCAGATTTGGCTGTACTCTTTGCCCAGCCTCCCTCATTGTTAGACCATGGTTGACCACATGATCAACCAAAGTGGCTCAGATCTCATCAGAGATTAACGTCCTTGGCCGTCCCCGTCCCCGTCCTCGTCCTCTCACTCTCACACCTCTGGCTCTGCCTCTGTTTCCAATGTTGGCATCCATTGCTCCATTGAAGAGCTCACCTGTTGCCCTTTTATGCTAAAGCTCTGATTGCTAATTGGAAAACTGTGTGACGGGTGTTTGCCTTGAGTCAGTGTGCATATTTGAATGGCAGTGTGTTCCTTGTGAAAACAAGATATTTTCTGCATGAAACTTGTGCCAAAAGCAGAGAATTGTGTGTAGTGTTTTGAAAAAGTGTGTTTTAGAACTGCAATTTGAGTGTAAAGCAGGAATTGTGCTTGTAGTTTAGCAGTATTGGTTCAGGGGGTTGGTGAATGAGTTACATGTTATGGTCATTGTGTCTCAAGTACCAGAATTTGTGTGTAAACAATTGAGAAAAACTGTAAAAGGACATCTCAAAACAAATCTACACAGAGAGTTAAAGACAACATTAAGTGGCTTAAGAACAGAGTCACTAGTGTTCATGTAGATGATATCAGCGTAGTCAATAAGGGGCAATATGAAGAAATTTACCTTTTCCTGACTTCAAATGTGAAACAATTAACAGATCTATAGAGTGAACTGAGACGGCCATATATTCTTTTTGTGATATAATCAATGTGAGGTTTAAAGGTAAGCTCAGAATCCACATTTTTCCAATTTTACCATGGAGGACCCATCTTCAAAATAAAGTTGCAAGTTAAGAGCACAAGGTCGTCTGTGCCTCGTCCCAAACATACAACAGGACTTTTCAGCAAATTATTTGTTATTGTGAAGCCATTTTTGCGTCATAATAAAGTCAGCTTGTAACCTGTTCTGGATCATATCATCAGCATATCAGAGTCAGCAGTGTAAATTACAGTATCATCAGCATAAAGATGAACCTTACAGATTGAGCGAATGTGCGATAAATCATTAATGAAAATCGAGAACAAAAGGAGTCCTAGAGTGGAACCTTGAGGAACCCCCTTATCAATAAATAATCAGACAGTTAACCTTGAAAAGCAACACATTGAATTTATTGAATTCGCCTGAGCCAGAGGTAAAAGACAAGGTTGAGAAATGATCATTAGCATAGGAATAGCATAGAATTACGATGCGACTGATCAAACCGCCGCCTGAGACTCAGTGAAACAGCCTGAATGTTTCTGTTCGGTTTCGTTCAGGCCGCCTGACCTGTACGAGCTCTCAGTCCAAACACGAGGTCACAGACGGGGTCCGGGTGTGGGTCTGTCACCAGTCCAGGTCCTGGATCTACTCTGCTTATGGCTATTCGCTTCTCCGGTCACCTGGCAGTGACCTTCACTTCCTCTTCCTCCTCCCCTCTCCTTCAGATCTGACCGATTTGAGAAAATTACACAACAGGTATCCCCATAGCAACTGGGAGGCTCATAGGCACAGGTGGCGGCCCCGTCCCAGCATGCAACTCTGCGCAGGCTTTTTAACCCTCACACCACCCACTCTGAACAGCTACAGCAGCTTTAGATATGCAGACGCTACTCTGCCTCTGATTGGCTGGGATGGTCAGGGTAAGAGAACCAGGATAAGCCAATCAGAATGCTGGAATGCTCTGCAGTGACAGAAGCTGATGATATTAATAAAGTTCTCATGTTTACAGCCAGATGTTCTAATGTTCTCTTCATCATGGAGGTGAGGGAATTACTTTTAAGGCTTTTGATGAACGTCATGTAAAAACATTGACACTGCAGCATTAAAGGAACACGATTGAACTTTAGGCGTCTTTATGGATTTATTATATTACACATGTGATAAGATATAGGTGGTGGGGGGGGACAAGTGACCATGCCCCCGAACACACAGCTACAGGGTTTCACTCAGGGACACTCTTGACAGTGACGTCTCTCCCCTCTCTGGTCAGAGTTAAACGCTGCATGCGTCTGTCTGCTCTGCGTTGTCTCTGCAGCTCTGCATCACGAGGTAGAGGAGGAGGGAGTTGGTGCTGCTGTGTCACACTCTTTCTGTTATTTAGTTCACCCTTAGTTAAAAAATGGGGTGGACAAAATAATAGAAACGTCTTCATTTGGAGGAAAAACAACATCAGCGTCCGAACCCAGAGTTAATTCTTATTAAAAGTCACAGAGAAGCAGAGATGGGCAGCAGAGTTCAGAGGAAAGGTTTCTGTTCTGTCACCAGCAGGTAGCTGAGCAGGTGTTCTGGTTAAAGGTCTGGTTCATTCAGGTGGATGACGGTGATGGTGATGTCATCGCGGTACCTCCGGGCCAGCTCTGCCGGCAGGCTCAGCATCTTGGCCAGACGGTTTGGTGCCACCGCTCCGTACCCATCATCCCCCAGGGCGTGGCGGAGCAGGTGGGTGGCAGCGTTCTGGTCCTCCAGCACCGACATGACCCGTCCCCTCCTCTCCAGCAGGAGGCGCTGCAGGCCACCCAGCGTCGTGCCCACGCCGGGAATTATGGGTCTCTGCTGCTGAAGGCCTGTAGAGCCACAAACAATTTCCACTGGTTATTCTCTCCGCTCCTTTCAGCGCCCAACCCCAACAGTTAAAACTGGAGCTGTCAGGCAGGATTAGAGGATTAGAGTATTACAGGATTAGTGTATTACAGGATTACAGGATTAGAGGATTGCAGGATTAGTGTATTACAGGATTAGTGTATTACAGGATTAGAGGATTAGTGTATTACAGGATTAGTGTATTACAGGATTAGTGTATTACAGGATTAGAGGATTAGTGTATTACAGGATTAGAGGATTAGTGTATTACAGGATTACAGGATTAGTGTATTACAGGATTACAGGATTAGTGTATTACAGGATTACAGGATTAGAGGATTAGTGTATTACAGGATTACAGGATTAGTGTATTACAGGATTACAGGATTAGTGTATTACAGAATTAGTGTATTACAGGATTAGAGGATTAGTGTATTACAGAATTAGTGTATTAAAGGATTAGAGGATTACAGGATTACAGGATTAGTGTATTACAGGATTACAGGATTAGTGTATTACAGAATTAGTGTATTACAGGATTAGTGTATTACAGGATTAGAGGATTAGTGTATTACAGGATTAGAGGATTAGTGTATTACAGGATTAGTGTATTACAGGATTAGAGGATTAGTGTATTACAGGATTAGAGGATTAGTGTATTAGAGGATTACAGGACTAGTATATTAGAGGTTTAGAGTATTAGAGGATTACAGGACTAGTATATTAGAGGTTTAGAGTATTAGAGGATTACAGGACTAGTGTATTACAGGATTACAGGATTAGAGTATTAGAGGATTACAGGATTAGAGTATTAGAGAATTACAGGATTATGGATTAGAAGATTAGAGGATTACCGGATTAGAGGATTACAGGATTAGTGTATTACAGGATTAGTGTATTAGAGGATTACAGGATTAGAGTATTACAGGATTTGTGTATTAGAGTATTACAGGATTACAGGATTAGTATATTACAGGATTAGTGTATTAGAGTATTAGAGGATTACAGGACTAGTGTATTACAGGATTACAGGATTAGAGTATTAGAGGATTACAGGACTAGTGTATTACAGGATTACAGGATTAGAGTATTAGAGGATTAGAGGATTAGAGGATTACAGGATTAGAGTATTAGAGAATTACAGGATTATGGATTAGAGGATTAGAGGATTACCGGATTAGAGGATTACAGGATTAGTGTATTACAGGATTAGTGTATTAGAGGATTACAGGATTAGAGTATTACAGGATTTGTGTATTAGAGGATTACAGGATTACAGGATTAGTATATTACAGGATTTGTGTATTAGAGTATTACAGGATTACAGGATTAGTATATTACAGGATTAGTGTATTAGAGTATTACAGGATTACAGGATTAGAGTATTACAGGATTACAGGATTAGAGGATTACAGGATTAGTGTATTACAGGATTAGTGTATTACAGGATTACAGGATTAGAGTATTACAGGATTTGTGTATTAGAGTATTACAGGATTTGTGTATTAGAGTATTACAGGATTACAGGATTAGTATATTACAGGATTAGTGTATTAGAGTATTACAGGATTACAGGATTACAGGATTAGTGGATTACAGGATTACAGGATTAGAGTATTACAGGATTACGTATTAGAGGATTACAGGATTAGAGGATTACAGGATTACAGGATTAGAGTATTACAGGATTAGAGTATTACAGGATTACGTATTAGAGTATTACGGGATTAGAGGAATACAGGATTAGAGTATTACAGGATTATGTATTAGAGGATTACAGGATTAGAGTATTAGAGTATTACAGGATTAGAGTATTACAGGATTACAGGATTAGAGTATTACAGGATTTGTGTATTAGAGTATTACAGGATTACAGGATTAGTATATTACAGGATTTGTGTATTATAGTATTACAGGATTACAGGATTAGTATATTACAGGATTAGTGTATTAGAGTATTACAGGATTACAGGATTAGAGTATTACAGGATTACAGGATTAGAGGATTACAGGATTAGTGTATTACAGGATTAGTGTATTACAGGATTACAGGATTAGAGTATTACAGGATTTGTGTATTAGAGTATTACAGGATTACAGGATTAGTATATTACAGGATTAGTGTATTAGAGTATTACAGGATTAGTGGATTACAGGATTACAGGATTAGAGTATTACAGGATTACGTATTAGAGGATTACAGGATTACGTATTAGAGGATTACAGGATTACAGGATTACAGGATTAGAGTATTACAGGATTAGAGTATTACAGGATTACGTATTAGAGTATTACGGGATTAGAGGAATACAGGATTAGAGTATTACAGGATTATGTATTAGAGGATTACAGGATTAGAGTATTAGAGTATTACAGGATTACAGGATTAGAGTATTACAGGATTTGTGTATTAGAGTATTACAGGATTACAGGATTAGTATATTACAGGATTTGTGTATTAGAGTATTACAGGATTACAGGATTAGTATATTACAGGATTAGTGTATTAGAGTATTACAGGATTAGAGTATTACAGGATTACAGGATTAGAGGATTACAGGATTAGTGTATTACAGGATTAGTGTATTACAGGATTAGTGTATTACAGGATTACAGGATTAGAGTATTACAGGATTTGTGTATTAGAGTATTACAGGATTACAGGATTAGTATATTACAGGATTAGTGTATTATAGTATTACAGGATTACAGGATTAGAGTATTACAGGATTACGTATTAGAGGATTACAGGATTAGAGGATTACAGGATTAGAGGATTACAGGATTACAGGATTAGAGTATTACAGGATTACGTATTAGAGTATTACGGGATTAGAGGAATACAGGATTAGAGTATTACAGGATTATGTATTAGAGGATTACAGGATTAGAGTATTAGAGTATTACAGGATTAGAGTATTACAGGATTACAGGATTAGAGTATTACAGGATTACGTATTAGAGGATTACAGGATTCTGTATTAGAGGATTACAGGATTACAGGATTAGAGTATTACAGGATTACGTATTAGAGTATTACGGGATTAGAGGAATACAGGATTAGAGTATTACAGGATTATGTATTAGAGGATTACAGGATTAGAGTATTAGAGTATTACAGGATTAGAGTATTACAGGATTATGTATTAGACTATTACGGGATTAGAGGAATACAGGATTAGAGTATTAGAGGATTACAGGATTACAGGATTACAGGATTAGAGTATTAGAGTATTACAGGATTACGTATTAGAGTATTACGGGATTAGAGGAATACAGGATTAGAGTATTAGAGGATTAGAGTATTACAGGATTATGTATTAGAGGATTATGTATTAGAGTATTACGGGATTAGAGGAATACAGGATTAGAGTATTAGAGTATTACAGGATTACGTATTAGAGTATTACAGGATTAGAGTATTAGAGTATTACGGGATTACAGGATTGGAGGATTAGAGTATTACTGTATTACTGTAATACAGTATTACTGTATGAACCTCCTTTACTGCCCCTCCATCACTGGAATAAACGCCAAACTGCCGTCAAATAAACAAATCCAGATTTTAAACTTTCTACTCGCGGATGGGGGGGGGGGGTGATGGAGCAGTGGATAAGACACATGCCTTTGGTGTGAGAGACCTGGGTTCGAATCTACTGTGAGTAACCAATGTGTCCCTGAGCTAGGCACCTTAACCCCCAGAGGCGTGCGACCTCTGACACATATAGCAGCTGTAAGTCTCTTGGATAAAAGCATCAGCTAAATGAATAAATGGAAATGATGTGCAAAATATTGAAACCTCATATTTAATTTAAAATAGCAGAAAGACTGCTCATCAGAGGTTGAGACGTTTTGTTGTGTTTCGCACATCGTCACATTTACTTTCTGTTTACACAGCGGGTTTTATTTCACTGTGCGGTCCAGTTCAGGCTAAGCTCAGATGTTACTGTAGACTCAGTGAGGATCTCGGTTCTCTCACCTGTCAGTTGATCCCCCACCAGCTGGACGACCGCCTGTCGGTGCATCAGCTCCCACAGTCCGTCAGTCGCCAGGACCAGGAACTTGTCAGCGGGTCTGATCCGGTGTCGTGTGACTTCCGGCTGGGCGGTCAGGTACGGTGGGGTCAGATAGTGTGGCGGCGGTGTCCGGACAGCCTCGCTGACCGCAGACAGGACATCCGGTCGTGTTTCGTAGATTCGGCTCAGCATCTCTGGGCTCCATTTGAAGCGGACGTTGCCAAATGCCCTAAAGGGCAGCAGCAGACCCAGCAGGCGGTCATGGCGGACCACCGTCCTCCACTCCGACGACGGGTGTTCTCCCAGAACCCTTTGCAGCTCGTCTGGGTTCTGCGCGTTGTGGTCATTGGTGAGGCTGACCGCTGACCAGCGGCCGTTGGGTTCCTGGACGCCCAGGACGGCCCGGCTGTCGCCCAGGTTGGCCACGTGCAGGACCCCGTTGGAGACGTGGGCGACGCAGGCCGTGCAGCCAGACATCGCCACCCGGAGAGGGGAGGCCGGAGACAACGCCTCCCCGGGGAGAGACACCCGCCTGTGGACAGAGAGAGGACGCACCTGGTGACTAAAGCTGAAAGCAGCCGGGTGAAAACAGCAGATCCAGCAGAGAACCCGGACCACCTAGCACCGTTACAGTCCACCTCTAATTCACAGGGTGCTGAGATCTGCAGGCATCTTCTACTACAGCAAACTGTTTCTGTCACGCCCCCTTCAGAAGCTGAAAAACATTCAGCACCCCCCACCAGTACCTCCCACCACCTACAAGTTCAGGTTCTATGAAGAACCAGGTCCCAGGCCAGTTAGAGGAGAAGACTCATGTTGTCTTCAGCTGAACTCTTACAGGATAGTCGTGTTATGTCAGGTCTGGACACGTATCACAAACTCTCTTTTATTCAGAAAGACTTTATCCAAATCCAAAGTTTGTAAATGAAACACATGAAACTGCAGCTTTAACTCGGTCTGACAGAAACCAAGAACAGAATGAGGACCTGGGTGAGGACATGAACAGGTGGACCTGGGCCTCCACAGAAAGGTCGTAGTCAAGACGGCGGAAAGCGTTGACCATCGCTGATGTCACCCTGCCGCCATCCTGCAGCCAATCAGAGAGGAGACAGATCACAACATGTGAAAACTAAAAGTCATTTTCAGATTATTGTCCCCGAAGGGATATTTGTTTTGGACTCAACAACATCGTCGTCTCTCAACACTTACTCTCAGATACAAAAGACAGGTACCTGCATAAAGGACACATTCACTCCTTGCACAAACGGGATATCTAACATCTTAAAATATCCTAAACATCATTCTCTCCTCTTAGACCTGTTTCAAACTCAAACTAAACCCTCTGACAGCAGAGAGACGGAGAAGGACTGAGGTCTCCTGTCCATCTGCAGAGATTAGCCAATAGCAGCCGGGCAGCCACCAGGTGTCAGGCTGCACACAGACTTGATCAGATGTTTACTTTAGAGGTCTTCACAGGTCCACCTGGATCCCAGTAGCTAAGACCCAGCCTAGGGTCTAAATTATATTCACTCTAATCAGGTCTGGTGGGTCCCTTTAGGATCGGGTCTCTTTTTCTTTTTTTAATTCGTGGCAGGTTCTGGCAGGTTTCCATTTGTCCATCTTTGGGTCCGTACTTTTGGACAAGTGGAGACCTGTGGTGGGGACACCTGGTTACCTCGTCCTCGTGCTCGTCCTCGTCCTCCAGCCTCTCCTGCCAGTAGTTCCGGAGGCTGTGGAAGGAGATCGCTCCTCCGTCGGGGCAGTTGTGGTCTTGGGGGTGGTTGTGCCACTCCAGCAGCGGCGGTACAGCCCGTTCCTCCTCCACCGCCTGTTCGAGCTCCGTCAGCGTCTTCAGCGGCAGCGTTGCCACAGCGACGTAGTAGAAGAGCCTCTGGCTGACGGCGTGCGCGCACACCGCCCCCGCGTGGCCGTCAAACACGCCAAACAGCACGCCGCCACGGCCCTGAAGGCAGGTGGCGTTGCTCCTACGGTCCTCGCCGGGGCGGTTGGATGGCAACATGTTGCTATGGAAATCCAGGACACCATGGGAGGCGGGGCCACTTGGGAGGGCGTGGCTGTATTCGTTGGCCTGGCAACAGAAGACGCACAGATCGGTACTCTGATTGGTGGATTAATCCCTGGAATGATGGATTTTTCTCACCTTTAAGATGCGGTTGATCTGAAACGAGCTCATCTGTCCCGCCTCCTGCCCTGTCCTGTACTTCCTGCTCCCGCTGCCTGCTGGGTAATGGAGTCTGGGGAGCTCGGGAGGAGGGGAAGGGGAGGAGAGGGAGCGACGGCATTGGTGGAGCTTAAACCTGCAATGTCCACTGAAGGTTCCTGTTCTTCCCTGCATGGCCACTCACCCAGAGATCCAGCAGCAGAACCAGCAGCAGATCCAGCAGAGTGGAACCTGGAGGAGAATCAAAAGAAACATCAGCAGAGAACAACAGAGCTGCAGGTCTCATGACAGACCAGACTGTCTTCTGCATCAGGTGCAAAGCACAAGATCCAGAAACTGCTGCGTTCGGGAGCAGCCTGCTGTATCTGGAGCCACTACGTGGAGTCAGTTAGACCGGTGGACCCTGGAACAAACTGGTCTACAGGCTGCAAATGAAATCTGGAGACAGAATCCTGGACCGCATACACTAGATTGCTTTTCTTGTGTTTGGGTTTGTGGTCTTAAGGGTGGACCAGTAAACGCAACAACAAGATTGTGATTCCATATGTGTCTGGAGCACCAGAGAAAATCAGGGGGACTTTCAACAAACACCACATGCGTGTGGTTTTAAACCCAAGAACACGCTAAGGCAGATCCTGGTCCACCCTAAATACCGCACTCCCAAACACAAACAAAGCTATCTAGCGTTCTCCAATGCAGTGCTCGAGAAGGAACATCAGCAGGAGAACCAGTGTTGTGTTCTGATGGACTCATCACCAGCTGCTGTCCCACACTCACCTGGGAGGGTTACCTGTACATTTCTGTGTTCTGTTTAATGACTGACTGTTTTCACTTGTTCCTGACTTCTTATTCTGCTGCTTCTCTCTCGGGTTCACCTCCAGGTGCACAGTCACTTTGTGCATAAAAGGCCTGAAACAACAGATGGTTTTGATCTCGGTGAGGAGGAAACGTTCTAAAAACAGAAGAACCGATACAAACGGAGCGGAAGAAGAATGAAGCTGAAACTCACTTTGTGTGTTGAGGTGTTTGGTTCTTTGTCCTCGGTTCAGTTGATGATGTCTGGTTCTTGGTCTTTGGTTCAGTTGAAGGTGTCTGGTTCCTGGTCCTCGGGTCAGTTGAAGGTGTCTGGTTCTTTGTCCTTGGGTCAGTTGAAGGTGTCTGGTTCCTGGTCTTTGGTTCAGTTGAAGGTGTCTGGTTCCTGGTCTTTGGTTCAGTTGAAGGTGTCTGGTTCCTGGTCTTTGGTTCAGTTGAAGGTGTCTGATTCCTGGTCTTTGGTTCAGTTGAAGGTGTCTGGTTCCTGGTCTTTGGTTCAGTTGAAGGTATCTGGTTCCTGTTCTTTGGTTCAGTTGAAGGTGTCTGGTTCTTTGTCCTTGGGTCGGTTGAAGGTATCTGGTTCCTGTTCTTTGGTTCAGTTGAAGGTGTCTGGTTCTTTGTCCTCGGTTCAGTTGAAGGTATCTGGTTCCTGTTCTTTGGTTCAGTTGAAGGTATCTGGTTCCTGTTCTTTGGTTCAGTTGAAGGTGTCTGGTTCTTTGTCCTCGGTTCAGTTGAAGGTATCTGGTTCCTGTTCTTTGGTTCAGTTGAAGGTGTCTGGTTCCTGTTCTTTGGTTCAGTTGAAGGTGTCTGGTTCTTTGTCCTCGGTTCAGTTGAAGGTATCTGGTTCCTGTTCTTTGGTTCAGTTGAAGGTGTCTGGTTCTTTGTCCTCGGTTCAGTTGAAGGTATCTGGTTCCTGTTCTTTGGTTCAGTTGAAGGTATCTGGTTCCTGTTCTTTGGTTCAGTTGAAGGTGTCTGGTTCTTTGTCCTCGGTTCAGTTGAAGGTATCTGGTTCCTGTTCTTTGGTTCAGTTGAAGGTGTCTGGTTCTTTGTCCTTGGGTCGGTTGAAGGTATCTGGTTCCTGTTCTTTGGTTCAGTTGAAGGTGTCTGGTTCTTTGTCCTCGGTTCAGTTGAAGGTATCTGGTTCCTGTTCTTTGGTTCAGTTGAAGGTATCTGGTTCCTGTTCTTTGGTTCAGTTGAAGGTGTCTGGTTCTTTGTCCTTGGGTCGGTTGAAGGTATCTGGTTCCTGTTCTTTGGTTCAGTTGAAGGTGTCTGGTTCTTTGTCCTCGGTTCAGTTGAAGGTATCTGGTTCCTGTTCTTTGGTTCAGTTGAAGGTGTCTGGTTCTTTGTCCTTGGGTCGGTTGAAGGTGTCTGGTTCTTTGTCCTCGGTTCAGTTGAAGGTATCTGGTTCCTGTTCTTTGGTTCAGTTGAAGGTGTCTGGTTCTTTGTCCTTGGGTCGGTTGAAGGTGTCTGGTTCTTTGTCCTCGGTTCAGTTGAAGGTATCTGGTTCCTGTTCTTTGGTTCAGTTGAAGGTGTCTGGTTCTTTGTCCTTGGGTCGGTTGAAGGTGTCTGGTTCTTGCTTGTTTGACCTGGACAGGCGTTCTATTGAAGGTGGTTCGTATATTCTCTCAGTTGCCGTCTTTGTTTCTGTCTGTGTCCCACTGTGACCTTTGACAGCTTTCATATCTCTTACCTCAGTAATCAGTAATCCATAACCCTCCTGCTGCTCGCCGTGAAGCCCCGCCCTCCTTGCCGTGACATCTTCGCTGAGCGGCCAGAAGAGGAGAAATCCCCAAACCGACCTGCTGGAAAGAAAGAAATGCATTAAAAGATCCCCGAGGTTCTGCTGTGGAACTTAATGTCTTTAAGCTTTTCATGAGAACATGAAGGAATTTTTCATCCACAAGGACTTGAAAGTATCTGACTTGATGCGTCAGGTGAAATTATGAAGAAGAATTTTATTATTAATAATTTTGATTCATCTTATTGTTTGTTTATATTTCATTACATATAATTTACTATTTATTTATTTTATTTTATACTCTGGTTTGCTAAATGTTTCTTTTCTTTTTGTTTGTGGAGAGAGAGGTTCTGTATGATGTTCCTCTATCGTGGCCTCCTCCAGTATTTTACAAGAAAAGGAATAAGGTGTACAGGGAACAAACAGACGTATAAAAAGACACGAATAACAATAACATTGCCGGGTTAGCTTATATAATGTTATTTAGAGACAACACTTTTCACAGCTTTTTTCCCACATTAATGTAAAATCTCTATAAATATGGTTGATGATTAACCTGCTGCAGAATCTGCTGGCGTGTAAACGAAGCTGAAAGAGGTGCAGAACAGTTTGTGGTTGGTCTTCACAGAAAGAACAGTTTGTACTGGTGTTTAAATTGAACCATTTAGTGATTAAATATCTTTTAATTATTCTAAACAACATTCACTTAGTTCACTTTCAGGTATTAGTGAGGAATCTCCCAGATATTTTTCCAACATGGAAAATATGAATAGAAACAGTTTCTTTCTGAAGCAAGTTTTATTACATATTCTACATACTGTATATATTCCATATATCATTGATATTTTCTTCTTAGTATTTCGAGGATGTTGATAAAAACTCTTTAAGGGGACACCACAATCCAAAATGACGATTTTACTTTCAGTCTAAAATAATGTTTATAAACATTATTACTAGTCTATTTTACACCGAGTCTGTCAACTGCAGATCAAGTAAATTTAATCTTTGTTAGTATTTTACATGTTAAAGTTCTACCGGTCTTTTTAAAACTCTCCATGTTGAATCATTGTTTGAAAGCTTGTTTTGTAGAGCACAGCGTCAGCTTTAGTTTATCTATCAGATATCTGTAAGAGATGTGTTTCTAGTGCGTTAGCTAATCTTTACCAGCTGCTTCCTCTGAATGACATGTTTCCTGCACGCCAAGTCATTTTTCACACACTTCTTCTGACAGCGAGGCGTTTACAGGGGTTTCTTTAAATATCTTTTATCATTCTCATTAAATTTAGCATTTTATCTGTAAATATGTGGAGAAAAAGGCTCATTCACACGTATATTTTTGATGAATCCATTTTGATCAATCGCTCTGTGAATGTCAGGCTGTTTGGTTTATTATCATATTAAAACGAATGTGATATGCAAAGCAGCGCATAATAAATGAGGAAATACCTCATTTGCATATTAAACATAAAACACTGTAATAACTTCCTTTGAGCTTGTAAAGTCTGACTGTGATGTCAGTGAAGTGTGACTGGAGTCTTCAGGGAGCAGTGGCCCCCCAGTGCCCCCCCCCGCTCCGAGGACCCGGATCAGCAGCAGTTCCTCCAGTAGGCGGCAGTAACGCGTCATAAAGACGAAGCCGGAAACAGGAGAAGAAGAGTGTGGAGTAGTTCCTGTTGGTGTCGGCGTGTTTAGGTCGTTTCCATCAGCCTGATTATTAAACTTTAAAAGGAGAAACAGAAGAAACAACAGCAGCAGCAGCAGCAGCAGCAGCAGCAGCAGCAGCAGCAGAAGAAGAAGAAGCAGAGATGGTGAGCAGCTTCACTCTGACGAGCTTTAACACCGCTGGTTAGCATGCTAACATGTTAGCAGAGCTCAGCTCGTTAGCTTGAACTGGCGGCTAACGCGTCCATTCAGTAACGTTACTGAATATTCAGCTGATAAAACATTTAGAGTCTCCTCTAAACTGTTTTCTGTAACTATAAATCATAAACTCTGTGAGTGTTCGGTGTTCCCAGAGCTCAGGGACACACTCCTGTTAAAGTCACACATTTCTGAACGGAGTTTGGTGTGAGCTGGCGGGCCGTTGTTCTGTCCCAGCCTCACGTTAATGTTCAGTCAGAGCAGGAAGGTTGAATATTCATGAGCCTCCAGTTTATCAAGCACTCATTTGAGTTATTAACAAATTTATCTATAGACGTTTTCAATCTGTTCCCCTTGTGTGAAAAGTCTGAGCTCTCAGCCAACACACAGAGATGTCACTGATAAAGTGCTGCATCTTTGAATGGAGTCTGGTGTGAGCAGGTTGCAGCTTCACACAGAAGTTTCTCCTTGTCTTTATAAAAAGTATCAACGTTTAGTTCACTCCGTTTCATCGAAGTTGAGAAAATAAACCTATAAAGAACTAAAATCTCAATGTTTCAGCCAGGATGTGATTTATTGATCAGCAGATTCTCTAGTTTCATGTTATAACTGATTAATAATGTGTGTGTGTGTGTGTTTGTACAGGCAAGGAACGCTGAGAAGGCCATGTAAGTACTCACTCTGTGTACTCTGTGTGTACTGTTCACTTTATTAACATCAAAAATAAGAAAAGGACCAGAACAAACTGAGTTTCTGTCGTTTTAGAATGACGTGAGATTTCAGTGATGGATCGATGATCAAAATAGTTTCTGTCAATCAGCTGATCGATCCAGCAGCTGCTTCACTGTTGGTGCTGGTTCAGGACCGTCCTGTTCTTCTGGTTCAGGACCGTCCTGTTCTGCTGTCTTTAACTGTGTCCCTCTGCTGTGTCTCTCAGGACGGCTCTGGCTCGGTTCAGACAGGCTCAGCTGGAGGAGGGAAAAGTCAAGGTCAGGTTCTGCTCCGGGTTCTGCTGTTGGTTCTGCTCTTCATGTCTCGCAGGTTGTAAATAAAAGAATGTGTAAATCTGTCTGTCTGTCTGCAGGAGAGGAGACCCTTTCTGGCCTCAGAGTGCAGTGAACTTCCTAAAGCTGAGAAATGGAGACGACAGGTACACACTCTGCAGGACACACTCTGCAGGACACACTCTGCAGGACACACTCTGCAGGACACACTCTGCAGGACACACTCTGCAGGACACACTCTGCAGGACACACTCTGCGGTGCACCTTCTTCTCTCTGGAGTTTTCCTCCTGGGCTGGAGTTTATCTTAGCCTTGTACAGATCCTCTGCTGCTTGAAGGGACTCGAAGCTGCCCGGAGCTCCACCAGCAGGTTAGGGTAGATTTAAACCAGTGTACCTGGACAGGTGAGGGGGGCGGGGCCTTTAGCGAGGCCCACAGCTCTCTCTTCATGCATAAGAGGGGACGGCCTCCTGAGGAAGAGGACAGTACCATATCAGAAAGTGTAGTCATGGAAGGAAGCAGGAGCCGTCAGGACCAGGTCCGCTCCGTACCCGGGTGGCACCAGAACCAGATGTTTGGTTTCATGTTTCAGTGTTCAGCATCTCCTGCAGCAGCATGAACCAGCTGTTTAACTGATGTTTGTGTGTTTCAGATCATCAGCGAGGTCTCAAAGAAAGTGGCTCAGATTCAGAACGGTGAGTAAGAGGAACCGGATCCTGACACAGGTGGATCGGACCTGCAGGAACCTGTCTGATCTCTCTGTCTCTCTGTCTGGATGCAGCTGGTCTCGGGGAGTTTAAGATCCGGGACCTGAACGATGAGATCAACAAGCTGCTGAGAGAGAAGGGGCACTGGGAGGTCCGGATCAAAGAACTGGGAGGACCCGACTACGCTGTAAATATAACCCAGAACCTCTGACTGCGTCTGACCCGATGCAGCCTCCACTTAGAACATCAGAGCAGAGACAGATTAATGATGTAGCAGCGGGCGATGAGTCCGTGATGAAAGGGGTCAGCGGCCGCAGCCTTTTTCATGACGTGTCTTTGTGTCTCAGCGGGTCGGTCCCAGGATGCTGGATCACGAGGGGAAGGAGGTTCCGGGGAATCGAGGGTATAAATACTTTGGAGCGGCCAGAGACCTGCCCGGGGTCAGAGAGCTGTTTGAGAAGGAGCGTAAGTAAACTCTGTCTCCACTTCCTGTTTATATCGCGCTGTCCGTCACTGTACTGCTGTCTGATTGGTCCTCTCTGACCCCTCCCAGCTGCCCCGGCGCTGAGGAAGACGAGGGCGGAGCTGATGAAGGAGGTGGACGCAGAGTATTACGGCTACAGAGACGAGGACGACGGCGTGCTGCTGCCTCTGGAGATGCAGTACGAGAAACAAGGTTAGATGCTTTTACAGCTGCAGCCGTCGGTCAGTCAGCTGACTGTAGCTGCTTCCAGCTCCTCAACCTGGGAAAGTCCAACGTGAGCTGCAGCGATGAATCAATAAGCTGATTAAACGGATCAGACGCTGAAATAACGACATCGGGATGCTGATTCGTTAAAAATATAAAGTCTCGCTTTGTCAGTGAGACGACAAGCAAACGGCTTTTAAAATGCTTGTTTTCTGAATGGAGTTTGGCTCGAGAAGGGCTACGCTAGGCTATGCTAGGCTATGCTAGGCTACGCTAGGCTAACTGCCTTCACAGTGCAGCGACGGCTGGACTCCAGTGACAGACACGTATTTCCTGTAGCCGTCCCTCCCCCTAAAGCTCCCGCCGCACAGTCGCTGAAGCTGAATAATTTCAGCGTTGCGTTTGAGTTTTTGCTCCGCCTCCTGAGCGTCGCCCGGCGGCCCCTGCTCGTCTTTGCATTGACTTTATGTAATCTCTCCACTCTGGCGAGATGAACGTTTCATCGCAACTAGGGCTGTCCCCGACCAAGGATTTAGGTAGTCGAGTCAGGATCGTCCTGCCTGTAGTCGAATCGTGTGTGTGTTTTTGTGCGCGGTTATTTCAAGTAGCCGGCTGTTTTAAAAACAATAAAATATTCTTCGTGTGGTTCATGAACGGTGATAAATTATCTGAAAGTCCCGCGAGGTGCAACAACTCGACACAACACCGTGAAGCTGGAGCTCCGTCTCTTCACGCGTGCACTGACGCCCCAGGGTCAGGGTTACTATTTAGGATTTATTTACGCACTTTAAAAACATTTATTGAAAGTTTTTTTCTTTCTACATGTTTATTTACAGCATAAAATGTTGAAATGTTTATTGTAACAGGCTGTATATCAACTTATTGGGAGGAAACTGCTAGTTCTATGTAAAATCAGACGTTGAGCACCCCCATATGGCGTGATCCTTGTTTCGCTGCGAAGCTTCAACTGTGAGATTGACAGTCAAATCAGGCTCCGCCCATCGAAGCATCGAAACCTTTCGACTATTCGGGGTCAGCTCTAATCGCAACCATCCAGCAGCCGCTTCAGTCTGAGGTCAGGACAGGTCACTTTGTGGCGTAACTTCCTCTCTGAAAGGCGGGTCGGTTTACCTGAGGTCATTTACGCTGCATCTCTAAACTTCTGTGACCCAGAGCCGCCGCTCTGAAACCAGTAACGCGGAGTCTGGTCCTGGTCCTGGTCCTGGCCTGAACCGTTCTTCACATGAAAGTATGAAACGTGGCCGTTTTTTGGCTCAGATCTGAAGTTCCTGCAGAGAGCAGCAGTGCCACTCGCGTCCTGATGCAGCTTCCAGGTGCCTCTTCAGACCTGACTGTCTTCACCAAATATTGATTTTCAATAACAAATGTGTTCCAAACGTCTGTTTAAAGAGCCCGAAATCTTCAGCAGCTCCTTCAGACACCAAACTGCAGCTTTAGTCCCGACTCTGACGGTTTGCACTGAGCGCTCCGTTTCATTTTATTCTGAGTGATGAAATAATAAGAGAGACATTCCAGTCTAACGTGTTGACAAAATAAAACAAACGTTTTGAACCCGACATAATCCAGAGTTCAGATTTCAGTTCTTAAAATAGATGCAAATTAGTGCATATTTCATTAGACGCTGCCTCATTTGCATATTTAAACATAATATTTCAGAGAACCTTTGATATAAAAAACAAAATATTGTCTTAATGTGAAAAATCAACAAGTTTTATTGTGAAATCTGTTTAATGTCTCACCTGAACACAGCAGTGACTCATCACTAAATCTGTACTGTGTGTGTACTGTGTACTCTGTGTGTACTGTGTACTCTGTGTGTGTACTGTGTACTCTGTGTGTACTGTGTACTCTGTGTGTGTGTACTGTGTACTCTGTGTGTGTGTACTGTGTTCTCTGTGTGTACTGTGTACTCTGTGTGTGTGTACTGTGTACTCTGTGTGTGTGTACTGTGTACTCTGTGTGTGTGTACTGTGTACTCTGTGTGTACTGTGTACTCTGTGTGTGTGTACTGTGTACTCTGTGTGTACTGTGTACTCTGTGTGTGTGTACTGTGTACTCTGTGTGTACTGTGTACTCTGTGTGTGTACTGTGTACTCTGTGTGTGTGTACTGTGTACTCTGTGTGTGTGTACTGTGTTCTCTGTGTGTGTACTGTGTACTCTGTGTGTGTGTACTGTGTACTCTGTGTGTGTACTGTGTACTCTGTGTGTGTGTACTGTGTTCTCTGTGTGTGTGTACTGTGTACTCTGTGTGTGTGTACTGTGTACTCTGTGTGTACTGTGTACTCTGTGTGTGTGTACTGTGTACTCTGTGTGTACTGTGTACTCTGTGTGTGTGTACTGTGTACTCTGTGTGTGTGTACTGTGTACTCTGTGTGTGTGTACTGTGTTCTCTGTGTGTACTGTGTTCTCTGTGTGTGTGTACTGTGTACTCTGTGTGTGTGTACTGTGTTCTCTGTGTGTACTGTGTTCTCTGTGTGTGTGTACTGTGTACTCTGTGTGTGTGTACTGTGTACTCTGTGTGTGTGTACTGTGTACTCTGTGTGTGTGTACTGTGTACTCTGTGTGTGTGTGTACTGTGTACTCTGTGTGTACTGTGTTCTCTGTGTGTGTGTACTGTGTACTCTGTGTGTGTGTACTGTGTACTCTGTGTGTACTGTGTACTCTGTGTGTGTGTACTGTGTACTCTGTGTGTGTGTACTGTGTACTCTGTGTGTGTGTGTACTGTGTACTCTGTGTGTGTGTGTACTCTGTGTGTGTGTACTGTGTACTCTGTGTGTGTGTGTACTGTGTACTCTGTGTGTGTGTGTACTGTGTACTCTGTGTGTGTGTGTACTGTGTACTCTGTGTGTGTGTGTACTGTGTACTCTGTGTGTGTGTACTGTGTACTCTGTGTGTGTGTGTACTGTGTACTCTGTGTGTGTGTGTACTGTGTACTCTGTGTGTGTGTACTGTGTACTGTGTGTGTACTCTGGGTGTGTGTGTACTGTGTACTCTGTGTGTGTGTGTACTGTGTACTGTGTGTGTACTCTGGGTGTGTGTGTACTGTGTACTCTGGGTGTGTACTGTGTACTCTGGGTGTGTACTGTGTACTCTGGGTACTCTGGGTGTGTACTCTGTGTACTCTGGGTGTGTACTCTGTACTCTGTGTGTGTGTGTGTGTGTGTACTCTGGGTGTACTGTGTACTCTGTGTGTACTGTGTACTGTGTACTCTGTGTGTGTGTGTACTGTGTTCTCTGTGTGTACTGTGTTCTCTGTGTGTACTGTGTTCTCTGTGTGTACTGTGTACTCTGTGTGTGTACTGTGTACTCTGTGTGTGTACTGTGTACTGTGTACTCTGTGTGTGTGTGTGTGTACTGTGTACTCTGTGTGTGTGTACTGTGTACTCTGTGTGTGTGTGTACTGTGTACTCTGTGTGTGTGTGTGTGTGTGTGTGTGTACTGTGTACTCTGTGTGTGTGTGTGTACTGTGTACTCTGTGTGTGTACTGTGTACTCTGTGTGTGTGTGTGTGTGTACTCTGTGTGTGTGTGTGTGTGTGTGTGTGTACTGTGTACTCTGTGTGTGTGTACTGTGTACTCTGGGTGTGTGTACTGTGTACTCTGGTGTGTGTGTGTGTACTCTGTGTGTGTACTGTGTACTCTGTGTGTGTGTGTGTGTACTCTGGGTGTACTGTGTACTCTGTGTGTGTGTGTGTACTCTGTGTGTGTGTACTGTGTGCTCTGTGTGTGTGTACTGTGTACTCTGTGTGTGTGTGTGTGTGCTCTGTGTGTGTGTGTACTGTGTACTCTGTGTGTGTGTGTGTGTACTCTGTGTGTGTGTACTGTGTACTCTGTGTGTGTGTGTGTGTACTCTGGGTGTGTACTCTGTGTACTGTGGGTGTAGCGGTGCTGGAGGCGGTGCAGAGGTGGAGAGCAGAGAAGGAGTCTCGTCTGTCAGGAGACAAACAGCAGCAGCAGGAGGAGGAGGAGGAGGAGGAGAGCATCTACAGCGTCCACAGAGAGGAGGTGACTGTCCTGCAGCTTTTATTACATCATCAGACAGCTCACTGTGTGGGCGGAGCCACGCCTGTCACTTCCTGTAGTAAAGGTGCGTTTGTTTTGTGTGCAGCCGGATGAGGAGGAGAGCCGGGAGGAGCAGGAGGGAGAGGAGGGCGGAGTCACCTTCATCGCACACGTACCTGTTCCCTCCCAGAAAGAGGTGAGACGCTGCTGGACTGTGTAGTAAACAGAGTCCAATCTGCAGGACTCCAGAAATACCCCATACATATACTGGATATACTGCGTCCCACAATGCAAAGCGCCTGAACGGCGACAACGGTCAGAGCGCCGCAGCGGACGAGTAGACGGGCAGTAAATCAGATTGTGGCTCAGGCCGTGTTGGGATGAAGTCAGCTGACGCACCAGTTATTATCCTGAGATAAAATTCTAATTAATATGAGAAAGATCATTTGAGTCGTGGCGTTAAATAATAACCGGCAGTTTAACCACCACCGTCCTGATCTCAGGTCAGATCTCCAGGGCCCCGTTTCACAAACTCCGAGCCGACGGAGCCCGAGGAGGGAAACTCTGAGTTTCCGGTTCCTGAACAGCTGATCAGAGTCAGCTCTGATACGTTGAGCCTGATGGAAGCGTGGCGATGAAAAAAAGCTCCGATACCACGATTCACCATGGCAACTGGTAAATAAAGGCAGAGCCTCCTTTTTAATCTGGTGGAGCTAGAAATATGAACGCTGCCCACGCGGACCCTGATAGGCTGCTCATTCATCGTTTAGCAGACTGGACTGTCCTCAAGAGCTGCAGCCCGTTACATTTTCAATAGGAAGGCTGAATTTAAATGTCGGAGGCTGCCTGATTCTGAAAATAGGAGCAGATCAAATGTAAGACGGAGTTTACTGACTGTACAGTCAGACCCAGCAGGTCAGACTCTTCAGGATGTTTTGCAGTTAGTTTGTTTTACTATTCAGTTTCTGATCATAGGTTACAGATTAAACGGTGAGCGCTGCAGTAATGTAGCCCGCAGGAAGTGTGTCGGTGCGACTGGCCGCAGACTCCCAGCGTTAAAGACGGACACAAATTTTATTCTGAGGATGAATCCACGATGTGCGGAGATCTGTCCTCACATCGATGTCAGACTGATCGTAAAGCGTCACGTTCAAGATCAAAAAAATAAACTACTAACAGCCGATCGGGATTTAAACGTGTTCAGATATGAGCTTTGGTATCGACGGCATGAACGAGCAAATGAAACGGTGCGTCAGACAGGAGGGGAGGAGTCAGAGACCCGTCTGTCTCTCTCTGACCCATCTGTCTCTCTCTGACCCGTCTGTCTGTCTCTCTCTGACCCGTCTGTCTCTCTCTGACCCGTCTGTCTCTCTCTGACCCGTCTGTCTCTCTCTGACCTGTCTGTCTCTCTCTGACCTGTCTGTCTCTCTCTCTCTCTGACCCGTCTGTCTCTCTCTGACCCGTCTCACCTCACTCTCTCTCTCTGACCTGTCTCGCCTCTCTCTCTGACCTGTCTGTCTCTCTCTCTCTCTGACCTGTCTGTCTCTCTCTCTGACCTGTCTGTCTCTCTCTGACCCGTCTCACCTCACTCTCTCTCTCTGACCTGTCTCGCCTCTCTCTCTGACCCGTCTGTCTCTCTCTGACCCGTCTGTCTCTCTCTGACCCGTCTGTCTCTCTCTCTGACCTGTCTGTCTCTCTCTCTCTCTCTGACCCGTCTGTCTCTCTCTGACCCGTCTGTCTCTCTCTGACCCGTCTGTCTCTCTCTCTGACCCGTCTGTCTCTCTCTCTGACCCGTCTCACCTCACTCTCTCTCTCTGACCTGTCTGTCTCTCTCTCTGACCTGTCTGTCTCTCTCTCTGACCTGTCTGTCTCTCTCTCTCTCTCTCTCTCTCTGACCCGTCTGTCTCTCTCTGACCCGTCTCACCTCACTCTCTCTCTCTGACCTGTCTCGCCTCTCTCTCTGACCCGTCTGTCTCTCTCTGACCCGTCTGTCTCTCTCTCTCTCTCTGACCCGTCTGTCTGTGTTTGACCCGTCTCACCTCTCTCTGACCCGTCTCACCTCACTCTCTCTCTCTCTGACCTGTCTCGCCTCTCTCTCTGACCCGTCTCTCTCTCTGACCTGTCTGTCTCTTACTCTCTCTCTCTGACCCATCTGTCTCTCTCTCTCTCTCTCTGACCCGTCTGTCTGTGTTTGACCCGTCTCACCTCTCTCTGACCCGTCTCACCTCACTCTCTCTCTCTGACCCGTCTGTCTCTCTCTGACCCGTCTGTCTCTCTCTCTCTCTCTCTCTCTCTCTGACCCGTCTGTCTGTGTTTGACCCGTCTCACCTCTCTCTGACCCGTCTCACCTCTCTCTGACCCGTCTCACTCTCTCTCTCTGACCCGTCTCACCTCACTCTCTCTCTCTGACCCGTCTCTCTCTCTGACCCGTCTGTCTCTCAGGTGGAGGAGGCTCTGGTCCGGAGGAAGAAGATGGAGTTGTTGCAGCGTTACGCCAGCGAGACTCTTCAGGCTCAGAGTCAGACGGCCAGAACTCTGCTGGGACTGTGACCCGTCTGTCTGTCTGTGACCCGTCTGTCTGTCTGTGACCCGTCTGTCTGTCTGTGACCCGTCTGTCTGTAAATATTGGCCCATTTTTATTCTCGGCCTGTTTCTTAATAAAAGTTGTTCCTCTCAGTTTGTGGTTCTTGTCGTGTTTTCTTGGTTCCACAGGTTGTAAGAGGTTCTTCAGTGGTCAGTTTGTGGTGTGACAGAGGTCAACAGGTGAATGGATCAGAACGGGCCGACAGCGGGAGGTGGAACCTCGCCACCTCTGTGTTTGTCCGTTACATTATTGATTTCACTCCTCCCGGTTTTATATTTAGTTGTTAGTTGTGTCTGTGTTGACGGGAAACTGTCCTCCACGCGTTCACCTCCTCAGCTCGTCTGTCCTCCTCAGGGTTCATCTGCTCTCATGTGGTTTCAATCTGGCAGCTGATTGGTTGATTGGAGGCAGCAGCATTCTGCAGCACGTGATTGGCTGATTAATGACTCAACGCTGCATGTGATGTCATGTGAGGCGCAAACTGCTGTCAGCCGCATTTAATAAGTGTGTGTTTCTCTGTGTGTGTGTGTGTGTTTGTGTGTGTGTGTGTGTGTTTCTGTGTTTCTGTGTGTGTGTGTGTGTGTGTGTTTCTGTGTGTGTGTGTGTGTGTGTGTGTGTGTTTCTGTGTTTGTGTGTGTGTGTGTGTTTCTGTGTTTCTGTGTGTGTGTGTGTGTGTGTGTTTCTGTGTTTGTGTGTGTGTGTGTTTCTGTGTGTGTGTTTCTGTGTGTGTGTTTCTGTGTGTGTGTGTGTGTGTGTGTGTTTCTGTGTGTGTGTGTGTGTGTGTGTGTTTCTCTTTGTGTGTTTCTGTGTGTGTGTGTGTTTCTCTTTGTGTGTGTGTGTGTGTGTGTGTGTGTGTTTCTCTTTGTGTGTTTCTGTGTGTGTGTGTGTTTCTCTTTGTGTGTGTCTGTGTGTGTGTGTGTTTCTCTTTGTGTGTGTGTGCTGACCCGGGTCGGCCCAGGTGCGCCCGGGTCAGCAGGTGAACCTGTAAACTGAATGAGGAAGTGGCGTCCTCACTGAGTGTTTCCTTTTATTGTTCTGCTGCTGGAGTTAACTCGACTGGTTGAAAAAACAAACGAGTAAAACAACGAAGTGGATTTTTAAAATGTATTCAGCCAATCAGGAGAAGGGCAGAGGGGCGGGGCGTCACAGGGCCAATGAGACGGATCGTAGCAACGTGAAACATTGATCGTTGTTTTTATCGTTGTATTGTCTGACTCAGGACGAGTTCAGCCCCGACAAAACGTACTTAAACATTTATTTAAACGGAGACGCCTTGAACACCCCGTAGGTACACAGCTCATCGCCTTTTCAGAACGCAGTGTTTACATACAGGTCACTGCTGATTGGCTAACACCTCTGACACGCCCACCAAACAGGAGATAAACATACCTTAGAGCACGTTCGCATCGTTTCACTGCAGCAAACCTGGTAAAACGTTTTCGAACTGAACACGTCTGTCAGGTGGTGGGAGGGGCTTATCTGAGAAGGTTGTTTCTTGTTTCCTGCACTCTGTGATCAGCTGTTCACACTGTTGTTGTTGTTTTTCAGCTGGTGGTAGTAAAAATCAGCTGACTGTTGGAATCCTGCTGCTGTGTGCTGATTGGCTGCTGAATGCACAGTTTCAGTTGTCATGGTGATTCTCAGAGACTGCGTGGCATCATGTGATTCACTGATTGATAAATTAATGAATTAATGTGTCAGACTGACGTCACTGTGAAGCCAAGCAGGGCAGCAGTGATCATGGGGGATGATGAGTGTGTATAGACATTTTAATGTGTTGGAGGCTCCTCCCCCTGATGACATCACTGCTCTGTCAGCATAAAGCAGCAGCCTCGCCTCCGGCAGACAGACGGCATCATGTGGTGTCGAGGTTTCCTGCAGCAGATGGTCAGATCCACCAGATCCTTCCGATCCACGTCCAGCAGCAGCCGGGTCAGTGTCTGTGTGTGTGTTGGCCTGTGTGTTTTGTGGGGACCTGATTTCACACTACGTTACAGGGACGTTCCTGTCTGTCCTCCTGAGAGACGGTTCAGCTGCTCGTCGTCTTCTTTAAACTTGTTTGACTTTAAGAACAAAGTTCCTTTATTCTAAAGAATGAGGATGGCAGGAAGAATATTGACGAAGAGGACTGCAAGTATTGATGTTCTGTCATTGTTGAGAGTTCTTTAAATAAGAAAACGGATGTTTTGAGTTAATTTCTGATACTGTGATTTATAAAATAGGATATTCTACTCCTCCTTGGTTCTGCGTCTCTAAGGCGCTGAAAGTAGATGTTTGAGAGGACATGTGGATGCGCTTCACATTATTAATGTAAACCATGTGTTGGTCCTCGTGTTGTTGGAAAGTCAACTAGAGTAAAGGAAAATAAATTAAAAGTTAAACTGAACAGATTATCTCTGTGGGTGCTTCTTGAAGTGTGAGTGTGTTGTTGGCTTCCAACCTGACTCCAGGTGGCTCCTTAGAAAAGTTTGTTAACCACTTCAGTCATTTAATTTACAACAAAATTCAAGTTAGTTTGTTGCCGCTGATCCCCATGCAGAGTTTGTAATGACTGAAACGCCGTCACGGTCCAACGTGCTCAAAGTCACAATAAGACAACTAGAGACAGGACACCGTCCAACATCCCAGAAAAAGGAAAATGTTTTTAAGATGCTGACCAGAGAATATTGGAGGCTGAAACGTCTTTAATGTCTTCGTCTTGTGACTTCTGTCGGTGTATCTGTGACATCATGACGCATCGATAGACTTGTTTGAGTATTGGTGTTTAGAAGGTCAAAGAGAACTCTCAGGTTTTGGGTTTTCATATAAATTCAGATTTTTTAATTTAAAAAGATGTTTGTTTATAGAATAAGTATTGTTATTTTGTATGTGTGTAAAGTTATTGATTTTCCGTCAGACTCCACGTTTTGTTACGGATAGACGTAATTCCTTAATAAACTAAAAGGTTTTACAGGTTTTTAGTAACACTGTGGATGTTTTTGTCCTGAAACGTGTGAAATATCAGATTTAAAGGGTTATTTCAAACATCTCTCTTCCCTGTTATGTTATTTTATTGTATTTATCCAGGTTTGATTTAATAAAAGTGGATTTTCACTCAGCAGAACTTGGAAGACGAGTTCTGAACTATTCAGTGTACTTAATGCAGTAAACTTGTCTGTTTGGGTTGAGACCCACTACATTCAGGTATTAACCATATTGTGTATATATTATTGCAATAATAATTATTATAATCATCTACTTTGAATTCTCTTTGGGCTGTCTCACCCGTCTGTCTCTCACCCGCCTGTCTCACCCGCCTGTCTCACCCGCCTGTCTCACCCATCTGTCTCTCACCCGCCTGTCTCACCCACCTGTCTCACCTGCCTGTCTCACCCGTCTGTCTCTCGCCCGCCTGTCTCACCCGTCTGTCTCTCGCCCGTCTGTCTCACCCGTCTGTCTCACCCGCCTGTCTCATCAGGCGGGCATCCTCTTTGATGTGGACGGCGTCCTGCTGCGTGGCGGCTCGGTGATTCCGGCCGCTCGACGTGCTTTCCGGAAGCTTCTGGACCGAAACAACAACTTCTTGTTTCCTGTCGTCTTTGTTACCAACGCAGGAAACTGTCACAGACATCACAAGGCCCAGCAGCTGTCTCACCTGCTCGATGTCCAGGTAGGACAGGCCGCTCAGAGACACAGACGGGTGTTCTGTGTTCATATCTGCTCCTTTGTTTTCAGGCTAGAACTATGATTTAAAGTGATCGCGTGATCAAAACTCACCTGTCGGTTCTACATGCCAATGAAAAAACATGAACTTCACGTCTTCCTTCATACTGGATCGGTGTCCTCTGGGTGATATTTTCAGTTTAAAGCCATGTGATGCACTTTTATATAAGTTATAATAATCAGCCAGTTTATTTTGAGTATTACAACAGTACAGGTAATGTGTTAGTACACGATAACATGCCAGAATGTCTTTTATTTCCAAGGTGAGATTCAACAGACCCAGATGTTAGACGTTAGCAAGAATCAAGCAGAAAAAGAAAATATAGAAAAAACTACAACATAAAAATAGGGATTATCATAATCCATTCCTAGTCCTGTATTTCTTTGTCTCTATCAAGACTTCAAAGTAGTCCACAAGCAGCTACAGACTCTATAAAGATCTTGGGCGGATCCCCTGGTTGAGTACTTCTCAAGCTTTAAATGCACCATCACATCCCCATCACAGCGCCTGTGTGCAGAGGGGGAGCTGATGCCCAGTTAAATAAGGTGATAAAAAGGCTATGTGTGTGACTGGGTAACAGAGACCGCCACCGCCAGAGACCTCAGAGACTGCAGGGTCAGGGCTGATTTCATTGTTTCGAACAGAACCGTACCAATGTTGGACACGACCAGAACATATGACGGAGGGTGACTGGAGTTTGATGGCTTCGGGAGCAAGTTGGATCTGCATCTGGATAAATCCTGGCCAGCTTAATCCTACAGATGGAGCCTGTGCTCAGAATGAAACGGGGACCATAATCAAAGTGAGGCCCTCTCAGTGGGGTTATTAGTGAGGCACTGTTCACTGAGCGCACATACTAAAGAAGCCAAGGACACCAGGTGGGTGGTGTTGTTCCACAAGGACACAGTCTCTTTCATTGATTACGCCTCCTATGACTCCTCAGTCTGGTCATGAGCAAACTCTTGTGGATTTTATGTCCTGAGATTTTACCAAAGTAAATAGGAATAGAGATTCTATGGTCATGGTAAAGTATTAGGTCATCTGCATATGGACAGATTGTGGGTTGTGGGGATTGAGGGCTCGGCGGACAGCCTTGTCCCTCTACATATAGAGAAACAAATCTGTTAGTATGGACAGAGGCCTGAGGTGAAGCATAGGTCAGGAACCCTCTCCAGAGAGGTGAAAATATACTCGTACTCAATCCAATCGAATGCCTTGTGGGCATCTAAAGAGAGTAGAACCTCTGCTGTCGGTGGGGTTTCAGGAGAGTACAGAACATTGAACAGCCTGCGCGTGTATTACCAAAAAGCTGCCACCCCCTAACAAAGCAGGTCTGGTCTTTATGCATAACTAACTCCGGTCTACAAGCTGGTCTCAGCAGAGCAGGCTCACAGGCTGAATCACTCACACATCAGAGGGTCTTCCTGAGAAGGATCGTGGCCTCCAAAGCCTCGGCATACACACTCTTTAGACGGGGAGATCATGAAAAACTCATCATCGTCTGGCCCTGTAGCTCTTCATCTGTTAAGTTGCCTGATCAGTTTCAGCTGCTGAGATCCTGCTATCAAGATCTGTCCTTTCTCGTGGTTTAATAGGTTTGACCAGGTTTTGATTTCTTTGATTTAACTGTCGATGGGAACCACCCTGCCTTTCGAATTGTTTGGTGCTAAAGGGGGGCGGTCGGTGTTCAGCATGACACTTAAGCCAAGTTCACACTACATGATTTTAAGCCTGATTTGCCGGTTGGCGAGCTCGGCGATCATCAGGCTGTGATCAGGGGATAAATCAGCAAATGATTGACGGTTGTTATGTGAGAACTATTCAACAACACATCAAAACAGCTCCCCGACACATTGCTGACACATCGCCAACGCCAGCCAGATATCTAGCATGCCAAATATCTGGAGGAGTCGGCCGACTCCACATCCAGCCAATGAGAGCAGGCAGCTACTTTCTCACTACTAAACCCTTTTTACTCACCTCCAGCTCTCTCTGTAGCTCAGACCATCCCTGATAAGAGTCGCTGTCAAGGACAAATAAATGACTTTGATTCCTTAATGATATAAAATTTTTTAATGTATTTTGTTTTGTTTTGCGTTTCATAGAAGATCATTAGAATTGTTTTGCTGTGCTGTGATTGGTTGTCAGTCATGTGACCCCTCTCTCTCTTTCTGTAGATCGCCCCGGAGCAGGTGGTTCTTTCCCACAGTCCTTTGGGAATGTTGAGGAGCTTCCATGATAAATGTGTCCTGGTGTCTGGACAGGGACCAGTGGTGGACATCGCCAACACGTATCCTTCACCTTCGCTCATCAGCGCATCAAAACATTGATCATGTTGTTCTGTTGCTAAAACGAATTACTAAATTAAAGGTTCAATGTGTAATATTTCTGAGGATCTATCAACAGAAATGCAATATAAGATCCATAACTATGTTTTCAGTGGTATGTAAAGACCTTACATAATGAACCGTTATGTTTTTATTAACTTAGACTGAGACATTTATATCTGCATAACCGCAGGCACCCCCTACTATAGAGGTCGCTATATTTTGTCGTCATGTTTCTACCATAGCCGACAACGAACAAACAGCGCTACAGAGCGTGTTTCGTCATGACGGCATTCTTCTTCTACTTGTGTAATTCCAGCAGTGTAGATGCCCATCACTACATTGAATACGTCCGTAGAAGAAGAACAGGAAATAATAAAAATAATAATAATAATAAACAGCCTCTGTGTAGTCTTCTGGTTTATTAGAGGTAAGAAGAGAAGTGACATTTGGACAAATGAACGAGCACACGTGTTATTTAGCACGAGAGCCGACAGCCTGTGGATCTTTATACCATGAAGCCAAACTGCACAGATACAGACAGCTGATAGCAGAAATAAAGGATGTGAATTTTCCTAGATGGAAGGCTATAACGTGGGACAGATGTTTTCAAAGCAGAGCTGAAGTTGTCTGTTTTCTGCTGGACAGGTAATTAACTTAAGTTTGTCAGACTTTAGCAATGCAAATGAAAGCTGTTGTTTGATAGCTTTAGCTTGAAGCTGGCCATAATTGCCAAGAGTGGTGAGGTGTTTCCCCTGTCAATATGTAGTTACATTAATTTCATGTCGCCTACTTATTCTCCAGCCTGTGGGTTGGCTTCACCGGTTAGCTTAGAGCATGGAAGCATCAGCCAGCTAAACTTTTACTGCCCTGGAACAAAAATCATGTAAGGTTAGTTGGATTGGTTTATTCTCCAGTGTTGGCTTTGGCTTGTGGTGTAAAATATGTAGTTGGATTAATTTTATGAAGTGACTCTCTCTCCAGAGCTCTGTTTTGGCTTTGTCAGTTACGTTCGTGAGACAATCGGCCGATCACTAATTGGCAATAAAACGGATGCTGGAAGCATCGAAGCACAGATCAGGCAGCTAAACTTTTACTGCGCTGGTAGAAAAAATATGTTGTTGGATTGTAATTTAATGTAGTTCTTCTCCAGCGCTCTGTTATGGCTTTGTTAGGTCGACATAAATGTGTTACCTTCCTGAGACAGATGATGAATATTATTAGTAATGAAACAGTAACAGCAGGGAAGCTCAGATCAGCAGCTAAACTTCACATTTTAATGCCCTGGTGGAAAACATGTATTTCTTTTTACTGCTAATGGTGATATGTAACAGTCCATATGTTTTTTTGGATATTGCTTCCCACTGTGCACACAAATGTGTAATTTGTACTTTCACATGCTAAATGCTCATTAAAAATGTTGCACCGTTTTACCACAAGCTGAAATTATGGCTGTTAGTACTACTTTGTGTTTCTGTTGTACTTCAAAAAATTTAAAAAGACATTTCGGTAAGATTTGCAGATTGCTTATCTAATTAAACAAAGTGAGAGGAGCCTTGATTCTCACCTGACTATGCCTTTGTAAACTTATGTGGTTTATAATGGACTGTGGTGCAGAAACTGTGAGGCTCACATTGTCCTGGTATCTGTCAGTGGTCATACTGGATGTACTAGATGTGATAGTGTTTGAGATGTTCTTCATTTACTTTGGTATGTTAGTCCAGATGAGCAAACCCTCCCAAGATGTAAAATAATGTATTACAGGAGTATGAGACATCATGTAGCACTTCATTTCTTCACGTGGCTGCTGTTAATTAATGAACAAGTAACAATAATATTCAACAAAACATTTGGTTTTACTGAATTATTAAGTAAATTCTTAATATAACTATCTAAAGAAACCTGATTTCTTGACTGGCAAACTCACTGCTATCTCACAGAGGACATCTTTGTCCTGTTTCAGGCACTGTAGCTATAATACTCGCTTGGATAGGGGAGGGGGGTGCAATTCGCAACCCTCACCACTAGATGTCACTAAAACTTACACACTGAACCTTTAAAATAATTTGTCAGAGTTTATGCAGAAGCCAGTATTTGAAATGATGAGTAAAAACAACTTTCTTTTTACTGACTGAATCAGAATCTTCTTATTAACCAACATATTTACATATACGGCTCGAAACTCTTCATTTATGGAAAAATAAATAAATGAAGGATGTATCTGAGACCGTTTGAAGTCTTGACCGCGTCGTCAGTTTGGGTTTTCAAAAGGTCGTGAGCATCGAGCAGCTCAGAGAACATTACCCCCTGCTGGACATGGTGGACCACAACAGGAGACCCAAACTACCTGTGAGTGTTGTACCTGTGACAGGTGACCTCAGGACTCCGTTCTATAAAAATATAGAGAGCCCAAGTCACTCGCTTCCGCTTCCGGCCCATGGGACCTTATTTCAGGAAAAATATGGACGGAAGTCAAGGCAAGAGACAACTTGTTTTTATATCCTGTTAGATGTGAACCCTGAGTTACACACATGATGTTGGTCAATTTAAAATATAATTTTGCAAGTCAAGAAAGTCGTAGTTTGTCGTAAAACAGTAAAGTTACATATCGTTTTGTGTGAAACCCGTTCAATGAACTACAGCTCTCGTCTCGCACAATATACGTCACCTAAGCTAACGTTCACGGCTTGCTTGCTACTAGCTAGATAACGTAGCTATGTTCGATGCAGAACTATATCTCACCTGATGTGTTTAATCGAACGACTGTCCTTTTATCACATCATCCTCTCATGTAAGTGTTTTGACGTTAGCTTAAGTCATTGACAGAAAAAGTTACGATGGTACATACGTGACTTTTGAAGTGAAATGCGCTGCCAGCCAATGACAGGAAGGAGGTCTGGAGATTCGGTCCATTACTCTTTGATGATGTCAGTTTCGTCTTCTTCATGGAAACGAACACTAACTGCGACCTGTCTCGTGGCGTGGAGGCTCCACCTGCACAAAGAGAGCTTTGTTTCTAATGGTTTTATATGTGATGATGTTGTAAAGATGCAGCAGCTCGGTCATCTCACAGTGTTTCCTCTGTTGCAGTCATCTCCTCTGCAGACTCCTCCCCAAATAGAAGGTAACACGCAACTACACAGGAAATGCACAACAAAACGACACAACACCACACTGCTTTTTTCTCTTTTCTTCTTATCTTTGTGTTCCGTGTTTGTGATGCTTTCACAAACATACGATCACATCCGAGTCCAGACGTTCTTTAACAACAAACCAATGAAAGTTCTTAAGAGGGAAAAAACATTATTTGAAGAAGAAGCTATTCTGTATCAGGCCACTCTTGAAGCCTCTCTCTCAGTAAAAGAAAGCAAATAAAAAAAATTCTAAAAAACATATAAATGGGTTTTAAAAGAGGAAACTAAAGATAAATAAAACAGATGACAGGCAGACGGATCAATAAATCTATCTGTTGACTTCTTCTCACTTCCTGCGTTGGCATAGCGATCATCCTGTTTGGCGAGCCAATCAGATGGGAGACTAACCTGCAGCTGCTGATCGACGTGCTCCTGACCAATGGGAGTCCGGGTTGTGTGTACGACCCTCAGCTGTCGGCCCAGCTGCCGGTCCTCGCCTGCAACATGGACCTGATGTGGATGGCAGAGGCGCCATCACCACGGTAACCAACATGCCACAGAAAGTCAGTTCAATACACCCGTCCAAATATAAGCTGAGTTCACTGAAGCAGTAAAAGGGTTTTACTGTGATCCCCAATCTCCCTCCAGGCAGGACGATGGTATGTGGTCATGTTGATCAGTTCTGATCCTGCTGTGTTGCCGTAGGTTTGGTCACGGGATGTTCCTGCTGTGTCTGGAGTCTGTCTACAGGAAGCTGACGGGTCAAGAGCTTCAGTACCAGGCGCTACTGGGAAAACCCAGTCTGCTAACATACCAGTACGCCGAGCACCTGCTGAGTCTGCAGAACCACAACCACAAGCTAACCACCATCTACGCTGTCGGGTAACCAAACTGTCCATAACACCTTCTACGCTGTCGGGTAACCAAACTGTACACAACACCTTCTATGCTGTAGAGTAATCAAACTGTCCAGAACGCCTTCTATACTGTCGGGTAACCATACTGTCCATAACACCTTCTACGCTGTCGCGTAACCATACTGTCCACAACACCTTCTACGCTGTCGCGTAACCATACTGTCCACAACACCGTCTATGCTGTTGCGTAACCATACTGTCCACAACACCGTCTATGCTGTCGGGTAATCAAACTGTCCACAACACCGTCTATGCTGTCGGGTAACCAAACAGTCCATAACACCTTCTACCAAACTGTCCACAACACCTTCTAAGCTGTTGCGTAACCATACTGTCCACAACACCTTCTACGCTGTCGCGTAACCATACTGTCCACAACACCTTCTATACTGTCGCGTAACCAAACTGTCCACAACACCGTCTATGCTGTCGGGTAATCAAACTGTCCACAACACCGTCTATGCTGTCGCGTAACCATACTGTCCACAACACATTCTACACTGTCGCTTAACCATACTGTCCACAACACCTTCTACGCTGTCGCGTAACCATACTGTCCACAACACCTTCTACGCTGTCGCGTAACCATACTGTCCACAACACCTTCTACGCTGTCGCGTAACCATACTGTCCACAACACCTTCTATACTGTCGCGTAACCAAACTGTCCACAACACCGTCTATGCTGTCGGGTAATCAAACTGTCCACAACACCGTCTATGGTGTCGGGTAACCAAACAGTCCATAACACATTCTAAGCTGTTGCGTAACCATACTGTCCACAACACCTTCTACGCTGTCGCGTAACCATACTGTCCACAACACCTTCTACCAAACTGTCCACAACGCCTTCTGTACTGTTGCGTAACCAAACTGTCCACAACGCCTTCTATACTGTCGCGTAACCAAACTGTCCACAACACCGTCTATGCTGTCGGGTAATCAAACTGTCCACAACACCGTCTATGCTGTCGCGTAACCATACTGTCCACAACACCGTCTATGCTGTCGGGTAATAAAACTGTCCACAACACCGTCTATGCTGTCGCGTAACCATACTGTCCACAACACCGTCTATGCTGTCGGGTAATAAAACTGTCCACAACACCGTCTATGCTGTTGTGTAACCATACTGTCCACAACACATTCTACGCTGTCGCTTAACCATACTGTCTACAACGCCTTCTATGCTGTCCTGTAACCACCCTGTCTACACTGTTGGGTCTCTGAACTGTCTTCTTCTTCTTGCCTAGGGACAACCTGATGACAGATATATATGGTGCTAACCTGTACAACCGGTACCTTACTCAGCAGCACGCCGCCATGACGAGCACTACTAAGCTTGTTGCCCATGGAACAGGGAGTCAGGTGACGATGGCAATGCCGGAGGAGGAGCTAATCTCTGCTGCTGCAGCACAGTGTCGCTCCATATTGGTAAAGACAGACCACAGTTTAACGAGTTGAAAGGATATTTATTACAACTCTTATTTATATAGTTTTATCCATCACGGTACATTTGTCATTTCACAACATTGGGTTGCATAAGGAGTTTGTAGTTCCCTTTATGGTGCTCACAAAGAGCAAACATTATATAAAAAAATATAAAATGTTACACAGAAATAAAACTGTTGTACATGGTGCAGTGCTCAGGATGAATTTAGGAGCCTCAGAGTCTAACACAGTAATACTAACATTGTACTCACCAATCTTATCTAACATCTGCCTACATTGTGACGTCACTTTGGATAAAAGCGTCCAAATGAGTAAATGTAAATGACATCACAGTGGCATCATTAGTGATGAGTTGATGAGTCGGGACCACAGACTATAGAGGCAACTAGTATAAAAGAAATGGACGTAGTCATCGTGACGTCACCCGTTGGTTTGTGGACTGCCGTTTTGAAGCCTCGAGTTTGGCCGATAGGGCGCCGCCATGTTGAGTTTGACCAACATATTTGGACGAGATGGCGGAGCTAACGGCCATGTGTGGAGCTAGCTAGCTTGCTTATCTACAGTAGGTGCACCTGTAATTTACGTTTACTGTCATTTTACCAGGGCTGATAACTTTGTCTAGTGAACAGCAGTCTTAAAACTAAAGAAAGTGAACAGCTGACTCCTAATAAGCTTTTTCAACAGCGCTGGTTAAATTTACACAGTGCCGTTAGCTCCGCCATGTTGAGTTTGACCAACATATTTGGACGAGATGGCGGAGCTAACGGCCATGTGTGGAGCTAGCTAGCTTGCTTATCTACAGTAGGTGCACCTGTAATTTACGTTTACTGTCATTTTACCAGGGCTGATAACTTTGTCTAGTGAACAGCAGTCTTAAAACTAAAGAAAGTGAACAGCTGACTCCTAATAAGCTTTTTCAACAGCGCTGGTTAAATTTACACAGTGCCATGGGTACGAGTCGGCTCTAGCCTGATTGACAGGTCACAGTGGTAACGACTTGTCAATCATAGATAATCCCACTCTGAAGCATACTCTGCTTTATGGTCTATTTTAAAATAAATGGGACCATAATTTACTAAATGAACATCATCTTGTATTGAAGGAGATATGAAACTTGAGACCATAAACTCATTAGGAAAATGTTTACTGAGGGAATCAGCTGAGAAGTAGCCTAATTTTGCCATTATTTCTAATGGAGCCGGACTTCTTTTTGCAACCAGAAGAGTCGCCCCCTGCCGGCTGTTTAACAGAATGCAGGTTTCAGGGACTTACTGTTTGCATCAGATCGCTGACTGGAAGCTTCCCGCTTAGTCGGGACGGGGGTTGATTCGTCAGCACGGGGTTGATGAGTCGGGACGGGGGTTAATGGGTCGGGACGGGTTGATGGGTCGGGGCGGGCGTTGATGAGTCGGGATGGGGGTTAATGGGTCGGGACGGGGTTGATGCGTCGGGACGAGTTTGAGGTGTCGGGACGGGGGTTGATGCGTCGGGACGGGGGTTGATGCGTCGGGACAGGGGTTGATGAGTCGGGACGGGGGTTGATGCGTCGGGACGGGGTTGATGCGTCAGGACGGGGTTGATGCGTCGGGACGAGTTTGAGGTGTCGGGACGGCGGTTGATGAGTTGGGACGGGGTTGATGCGTCGGGACGGGGTTGATGCGTCGGGACGGGGGTTGATGAGTTGGGACGGGGGTTGATGAGTCGGGACGGGGTTGATGCGTCGGGAAGTTTTCAGCCACATCTCATGGTCTTCCTCAATTTACTGTAGATACAACATATAACCAATGACGACGCAGGATAGTATCATAGTGTAAAACTTTTGTATTAAACTAAAGATTTGTTAATTTAATTAATTATGACAGAAGGTGAATTTCCAGCTGTAGTGTGCTGCTTCGAGACTGCTGAGAAGTAGCCTAATTTTGCCATTATTTCTAATGGAGCCGGACTTCTTTTTGCAACCAGAAGAGTCGCCCCCTGCCGGCTGTTTAACAGAATGCAGGTTTCAGGGACTTACTGTTTGCATCAGATCGCTGACTGGAAGCTTCCCGCTTAGTCGGGACGGGGGTTGATTCGTCAGCACGGGGTTGATGAGTCGGGACGGGGGTTAATGGGTCGGGACGGGTTGATGGGTCGGGGCGGGCGTTGATGAGTCGGGATGGGGGTTAATGGGTCGGGACGGGGTTGATGCGTCGGGACGAGTTTGAGGTGTCGGGACGGGGGTTGATGCGTCGGGACGGGGGTTGATGCGTCGGGACAGGGGTTGATGAGTCGGGACGGGGGTTGATGCGTCGGGACGGGGTTGATGCGTCAGGACGGGGTTGATGCGTCGGGACGAGTTTGAGGTGTCGGGACGGCGGTTGATGAGTTGGGACGGGGTTGATGCGTCGGGACGGGGTTGATGCGTCGGGACGGGGGTTGATGAGTCGGGATGGGGGTTAATGGGTCGGGACGGGGTTGATGCGTCGGGACGGGGTTGATGCGTCGGGACGAGTTTGAGGTGTTGGGACGGGGGTTGATGCGTCGGGACGGGGTTGATACGTCGGGATGAGTTTGATGCGTCGGGACGGGGTTGATGAGTCGGGACGGGGTTGATGAGTCGGGACGGGGGTTGATGAGTCGGGACGGGGGTTGATGAGTTGGGACGGGGGTTGATGAGTCGGGATGGGGGTTGATGAGTTGGGACGGGGGTTGATGAGTCGGGACGGGGTTGATGCGTCGGGAAGTTTTCAGCCACATCTCATGGTCTTCCTCAATTTACTGTAGATACAACATATAACCAATGACGACGCAGGATAGTATCATAGTGTAAAACTTTTGTATTAAACTAAAGATTTGTTAATTTAATTAATTATGACAGAAGGTGAATTTCCAGCTGTAGTGTGCTGCTTCGAGACCCTCCTTCCTAATAAAGTCACTAACACAGAGTTGTCCACCCGTCCTCAGGTGTGCACAGGTGTCTATAACCCTCACTCCCCGTTGCCTAGCGACCAAAGTGGCACATTCATGGAGACGGTGTTCCACGGTCACAGAGACTTGGTTCTGGATCCAGACCTGGTGGAGCCGAGTCATGTGGTGGAGGACGTGGAGGCCGCCGTCGACGTGCTGCTTCAGCAGGAGAGCGCCGTCACCTCTGACACCTGACCTCTTGGCCTCTGACCCTCACACAGACACTACATGAGTTTGTTTGGGAGACTCTCGATGGACTGCTAGGACCTGCAGGGTCACGTGACCAACGGAGACAGCTGAAGGCTTAAATTTGCTAATTTCCTGTAGCGTTGTTAGCTACCTGTATCATTAGCTGGTAATCAGAGAAGAAGAAGAAAACACACCTGTAGAACATTAGTGAAACTCTGTTTAGCATAAAGAATACACAGTCGCAGGAAAAAGAATGTGAACCCTTTGGAATCACCTGGATTTCTGCATAAATGGTCATAAAATGTGATCTGATCTTCATCTAAGTCACAACAACAGACAAACACAGTCTGCTTGAACGAACTCCTCACAAACAATTATATGTTTTCATGTTTTTATTGAACACACTGAGTGAACATTATTATTAAAGCGTGGAAAAAGTATCTCAGGGAAACACTGGTGCGTCACAGTGAGCCCGGGTCTCTCACACCAAAGGTATGTGTCTTAAATTCTGTGCCATCACCGCCCTGCTAACGCTCCTATTTATCTTGAATGATCACAAAGATGTAATAACTAGTTTATGACAGACTAAAATTTTTAATAAACATTTATAAGTGTTATATGTTTTAGTGGAGTCTGCTGCAGATTATTATTGCTCATAACATAAACAGCTGTAATAATATAAAATATGTCTTCACAGAAGAAAGTATAAGACTTTTGTTCTTATATCTGCTTACAGTGACATTATAGTGTGTTATTAACCGTTTGTTACTTATTATAACCCGGGACGCAAAGTGACATCAGTCTCAACAGCGTGTGCTCTGTTAGATAACGCTGCGATCGCTCATACAGCTAAGCGGTCAGCTGACGGTAAACATACTAACAGATTAGCTCGCTAACGGTAGTGCAAGCTTGGCCCCCGCACTGGTCACATGACCTTCACCTCTCAGCTGTCTTGAAACACACCTGTGAACACCTGAATGTGGAGTGACCTCTGACCTCAGACTGTAAGGGTTTAACCCTTAAACTATGGATGAACGCTTAGAAAACTAATGACCTCACTAATGTTTGCTGGTGCTGTGAGCTGATTTATGTCAGACATTAACGTCTGTGTAATGTTATGATTTCATATATGGATTGTAAACGTCTGAAGGCTTTTATATTTTATATACAGGACTGTTTAAAGAATCCGATCTGTCAGTGTGCTGTTAAAGGAAATTTTTAATTGTGTTTAAGAGCAACTTTGCAATAAAACATCAAATGTGAAAATATAGGTGTCCTTTTCTCCATTGCATTTACATTCCTCTCATGTCTCTATTTTGTTTACATTACATTTACATTTATTCATTTAGCTGACGCTTTGATCCAACGCTACTTACAGCTGCTGTACGTCAAAGGTCGCACACCTCTGGAGCAATGACGGTTTAAGTGTGTTGCTCAGGGACACATTGGTGGGGGCCACGATGAACGGAGGTCAGGATGAAGAGAGGCAACGATGAACGGAGGTCAGGATGAAGAGGCCGTGATGAACGGAGGTCAGGATGAAGAGAGGCCGTGATGAACGGAGGTCAGGATGAAGAGAGGCAACGATGAACGGAGGTCAGGATGAAGAGAGGGCAGGATGAACGGAGGTCAGGATGAAGAGAGGCAGGATGAACAGAGGCCATGATGAAGGGAAGTCAGGATGAAGAGAGGCCACAATAAAGGGAAGTCAGGATGAAGAGAGGGCAGGATGAACGGAGGTCAGGATGAAGGGGGCCACGATGAAGGGAAGTCAGGATGAAGGGAGGCAGGATGAAGAGAGGCAACGATGAACGGAGGTCAGAATGAAGAGAGGCCGTGATGAACGGAGGTCAGGATGAAGAGAGGCCGTGATGAACGGAGGTCAGGATGAAGAGAGGCAGGATGAAGAGAGGCCATGATGAAGGGAAGTCAGGATGAAGGGAAGTCAGGATGAAGAGAGGGCAGGATGAACGGAGGTCAGGATGAAGAGAGGCAGGATGAAGAGAGGCCATGATGAAGGGAAGTCAGGATGAAGAGAGGCCACGATGAAGGGAAGTCAGGATGAAGAGAGGGCAGGATGAAGGGAGGCCAGGATGAAAACAGGCCACAATGAAGGGAGGTAAGGATGAAGAGAGGGCAGGATGAAGAGAGGTAAGCATGAAAGGAGGACAGGATGAAGAGAGGTCAGGATGAAGAGAGGGCAGGATGAAGAGAGGCCACGATGAACGGAGGTCAGGATGAACGGAGGCTACGATAAAGAGAGGTCAGGATGAAGAGAGGTAAGGATGAAAGGAGGACAGGATGAAGAGAGGTCAGGATGAAGAGAGGTCAGGATGAAGAGAGGCCAGGATGAACGGAGGTCAGGATGAACGGAGGCTACGATAAAGAGAGGTAAGGATGAAGAGAGGCCATGATGAAGGGAAGTCAGGATGAAGAGAGGCCACGATAAAGGGAAGTCAGGATGAAGAGAGGGCAGGATGAAGGGAGGCCAGGATGAAGGGAGGTCAGGATGAAGAGAGGCCACGATAAAGGGAAGTCAGGATGAAGAGAGGGCAGGATGAAGGGAGGCCAGGATGAAGGGAGGCCAGGATGAAGGGAGGTCAGGATGAAGAGAGGCAGGATGAAGGGAAGTCAGGATGAAGAGAGGCCACGATGAAGGGAAGTCAGGATGAAGGGAGGACAGGATGAAGAGAGGTCAGGATGAAGAGAGGTCAGGATAAAGAGAGGCCATGATGAACGGAGGTCAGGATGAACGGAGGCTACGATAAAGAGAGGTAAGGATGAAAAGAGGTCAGTGTTAAGGGAGGCCACGATGAAGGGAGGTCAGGATGAAGAGAGGCAGGATGAAGAGAGGCCAGGATGAAGGGAGGCCAGGATGAAGAGAGGCAGGATGAAGAGAGGCCGTGATGAACGGAGGTCAGGATGAAGAGAGGCCGTGATGAACGGAGGTCAGGATGAAGAGAGGCAGGATGAAGAGAGGCCATGATGAAGGGAAGTCAGGATGAAGAGAGGCCACGATAAAGGGAAGTCAGGATGAAGAGAGGGCAGGATGAACGGAGGTCAGGATGAAGGGGGCCACGATGAAGGGAAGTCAGGATGAAGGGAGGCAACGATGAACGGAGGTCAGAATGAAGAGAGGCCGTGATGAACGGAGGTCAGGATGAAGAGAGGCAGGATGAAGAGAGGCCATGATGAAGGGAAGTCAGGATGAAGAGAGGCCACGATAAAGGGAAGTAAGGATGAACGGAGGTCAGGATGAAGAGAGGCCAGGATGAAGAGAGGCCAGGATGAAGGGAGGTCAGGATGAAGGGAAGTCAGGATGAAGGGAAGTCAGGATGAAGAGAGGGCAGGATGAACGGAGGTCAGGATGAAGAGAGGCCATGATGAAGGGAAGTCAGGATGAAGAGAGGCCACGATGAAGGGAGGTAAGGATGAAAGGAGGACAGGATGAAGGGAGGCCAGGATGAAGAGAGGCAGGATGAAGAGAGGCCATGATGAAGGGAGGTCAGGATGAAGGGAGGCCACAATGAACGGAGGCCAGGATGAAGGGAGGTCAGGATGAAGAGAGGCAGGATGAAGAGAGGCCACAATGAACGGAGGTCAGGATGAAGGGAGGCCACAATGAACGGAGGCAAGGATGAAGAGAGGCCAGGATGAAGGGAGGTCAGGATGAAGGGAAGTCAGGATGAAGGGAAGTCAGGATGAAGAGAGGTCAGGATGAACGGAGGTCAGGATGAAGAGAGGCAGGATGAAGAGAGGCCATGATGAAGGGAAGTCAGGATGAAGAGAGGCCACGATGAAGGGAGGTAAGGATGAAAGGAGGACAGGATGAAGGGAGGCCAGGATGAAGAGAGGTCAGGATGAAGAGAGGCCAGGATGAAGGGAGGCCAGGATGAAGAGAGGCAGGATGAAGAGAGGCCATGATGAAGGGAGGTCAGGATGAAGGGAGGCCACAATGAACGGAGGCCAGGATGAAGGGAGGTCAGGATGAAGAGAGGCAGGATGAAGAGAGGCCACAATGAACGGAGGTCAGGATGAAGGGAGGCCACAATGAACGGAGGCCAGGATGAAGAGAGGTAAGGATGAAAAGAGGTCAGTATGAAGGGAGGTCAGGATGAAGAGAGGTCAGGATGAAGGGAGGTCAGGATGAAGAGAGGCCAGGATGAAGAGAGGCCACGATGAACGGAGGCCAGGATGAAGAGAGCAACGATGAACGGAGGTCAGGATGAAGAGAGGCAGGATGAAGGGAGGCCAGGATGAAGAGAGGCCACAATGAAGAGAGGCAGGATGAAGAGAGGCCATGATGAAGGGAAGTCAGGATGAAGAGAGGCAGGATGAAGAGAGGCAGGATAAAGAGAGGCCATGATGAAGGGAAGTCAGGATGAAGAGAGGCAGGATGAAGAGAGGCCGTGATGAAGAGAGGCCAGGATGAAGGGAGGTCAGGATGAAGAGAGGCCGTGATGAAGGGAGGCCAGGATGAAGAGAGGCCACGATGAAGGGAAGTCAGGATGAAGAGAGGGCAGGATGAAGGGAGGCCAGGATGAAGACAGGCCACAATGAAGGGAGGTAAGGATGAAAGGAGGACAGGATGAAGGGAGGCCAGGATGAAGAGAGGCAGGATGGAGGGAGGCCAGGATGAACGGAGGTCAGGATGACGACAGGTCAGGATGAAGGGAAGTCAGGATGAAAAGAGGTCAGTATGAAGGGGGCCACAATGAACGGAGGTCAGGATGAAGAGAGGCAGAATCAACGGAGGTCAGGATGAAGAGAGGTCAGGATGAAGGGAGGCCAGGATGAAGAGAGGCAGAATGAAGGGAGGTCAGGATGAAGGGACGCCAGGATGAAGAGAGGCCACGATAAAGGGAGGCCACGATGAAGAGAGGTCAGGATGAAGAGAGGCCAGGATGAAGAGAGGCCACGATGAAGGGAAGTCAGGATGAAGAGAGGGCAGGATGAAGGGAGGCCAGGATGAAGACAGGCCACAATGAAGGGAGGTAAGGATGAAAGGAGGACGGGATGAAGAGAGGTCAGGATGAAGAGAGGCCACGATGAACGGGGGCTACGATAAAGAGAGGTCAGGATGAAGAGAGGTAAGGATGAAAAGAGGTCAGTGTTAAGGGAGGTGAGGATGAAGGGAGGCCACGATGAAGGGAGGTCAGTATGAAGAGAGGCAGGATGAAGAGAGGCCAGAATGAAGGGAGGCCAGGATGAAGGGAGGCCAGGATGAAGAGAGGCAGGATGGAGGGAGGCCAGGATGAACGGAGGTCAGGATGACGACAGGTCAGGATGAAGGGAAGTCAGGATGAAGGGGGGCCACAATGAACGGAGGTCAGGATGAAGAGAGGCAGAATCAACGGAGGTCAGGATGAAGAGAGGTCAGGATGAAGGGAGGCCAGGATGAAGAGAGGCCACGATAAACGGAGGTCAGGATGAAGAGAGGTAAGGATGAAAAGAGGTCAGTATGAACAGAGGTCAGGATGAAGGGGGGCCACAATGAACGGAGGTCAGGATGAAGAGAGGCAGAATCAACGGAGGTCAGGATGAAGGGAGGCCAGGATGAAGAGAGGCCACGATGAACGGAGGTCAGGATGAAGAGAGGTAAGGATGAAAAGAGGTCAGTGTTAAGGGAGGTGAGGATGAAGGGAGGCCACGATGAACAGAGGTCAGGATGAAGAGAGGCAGAATGAAGGGAGGTCAGGATGAAGGGACGCCAGGATAAAGAGAGGCCACGATAAAGGGAGGCCACAATGAAGAGAGGTCAGGATGAAGAGAGGTCAGGATGAAAGGAGGCCACGATGAAGAGAGGTCAGGATGAAGAAAGGTCAGGATGAAAGGAGGTCAGGATGAAGAGAGGTAGGTTGAAGAGAGGCCAGGATGAAGGGAGGTCAGGATGAAGAGAGGCCATAATGAACAGAGGTCAGGATGAAAAGACGTCAGTATGAATAGAGGCAGAATGAAGCGAGGTCAGGATGAAGAGAGGATGAACGGAGGCAGGATGAAGAGAGGCAGAATGAAGGGAGGTCAGGATGAAGAGAGGCCACAATGAACGGAGGTCAGGATGAAGGGAGGCCACAATGAACGGAGGCCAGGATGAAGAGAGGGCAGGATGAAGAGAGGATGAACGGAGGTCAGGATGAAGAGAGGCAGAATGAAGGGAGGTCAGGATGAAGGGAGGCCACAATGAACGGAGGCCACGATGAAGGGAGGTCAGGATGAAGGGAGGTCAGGATGAAGGGAGGTCAGGATGAACGGAGGTCAGGATGAAG